TGACAAGTTTGATGTGTAACCAGTTTGATATGTGCGACTGGTTTGATGTGTAACCAGTGTGATATGTGACTGGCTTGATGTGTAACCAGTTTGATATGTGACCTGTTTGTCGTGTAACTAGTTTTATATGTGTCTTCTTTGATGTGTTACCAGTTTGATATGTGACTGGCTTCATGTGTAGCCAGTTTGATATGTGACTGGTTTGATATGTAACCAGTTTGTTGTGTGCCTGGTTTGATGTGTAACCAGATTGATGTGTGACTGGTTTGATCTGTAACCAGTTTGATATGTGACTGGTTTGATGTGTAACCAGTTTGATATGTGACTGGCTTGATCTGTAACCAGTTTGATGTGTGACTGCTTTGATGTGTAACGAGTTTGATATGTGGCTGGTTTGATGTGTAACCAGTTTGATATGTGACTGGCTTGATCTGTAACCAGTTTGATGTGTGACCGGTTTGATGTGTAACCAGTTTGATGTGTGACCGGTTTGATGTGTAACCAGTTTGATGTGTGACTGGTTTGATGTGTAACCAGTTTGATGTGCGACTGGTTTGATGTGTAACCAGTTTGATATGTGACTGGCTTGTGTAACCAGTTTGATGTGTAACCAGTTTGATATGTGACTGCTTTGCTGTGTTACCAGTTTGATATATGACTGGCTTCATGTGTAACCAGTTTGATGTGTGACTGGTTTGATGTGTAACCAGTTTGATGTGTGACTGGTTTGATGTGTAACCAGTTTGATGTGTGACTGGTTTAATGTGTATCCAGTTTGATATGTGACTGGCTTGATGTGTTCCCAGTTTGATATGTGACTTGCTTGATGTGTAGCCAGTTTGATATGTGATTGGCTTGATGTGTAATCAGTTTGATGTGTGACTGGTTTGATGTGTAACCAGTTTGATATGTGACTGGTTTGTTGTGTTACCAGTTTGATATGTGACTGGTTTGATGTGTGACCAGTTTGATATGTGACTGGCTTGATGTGTTCCCAGTTTGATATGTGACTTGCTTGATGTGTAGCCAGTTTGATATGTGATTGGCTTGATGTGTAATCAGTTTGATGTGTGACTGGTTTGATGTGTAACCAGTTTGATATGCGACTGGTTTGTTGTGTTACCAGTTTGATATGTGACTGGCTTGATGTGTGACCAGTTTGATATGTGACTGGCTTGGTGTGTGAATAGTTTAATATGTGACTGGCTTGATGTGTATCCAGTTTGATATGTGACTGGCTTGATGTGTAACCAGTTTGATATGTGACTGGTTTGATGTGTATGCAGTTTGATATGTGACTGCTTTGATGTGTTATCGCTTTGATATGTAACTGGCTTCATGTGTAACCAGTTTGATATGTGACTAGTTTGATATGTAACCAGTTTGATGTGTGACTGGTTTGATGTGTAACCAGTTTGATGTG